TATATATATATATTACTCAGTCCATCCAGGCTGCTGTAGCAAAATACTGTTAACTGTGAAGCTGATAAATAGAGACTTTATTTCTCAGAGTTCTCAATATTGGGATGCTCAAGATCCAGGCATCAACAGATTCAGGCTTCGGTTCAGATTCCTTCCTGGCAGTGTCCTGGCTGGTGGAAGGTGGGAAGGTGCTAGGCAGTGCAGTGGGACCTCTTGTAAAAGCACCACTCTCTCGCATGACTATGTGACCCTCATGACCTAAATCACTTCCCAGTGTCCTCATTCCCAGAGTTGCTGCATTGGTTTTAATCTATGAATTTTGGAGAACATAGAACATATGAATGCTTTTAAAATGTGAAAACAAAATTTATTTTCCATGAACTTTTTAATTTATCCACAAATATTTACTAAGAAAATATTTTGATACAATTTATTATTAATGATGATGTTTTATAACTGTGGTCAGGGAATTTGTAATATATTTTTATATACTGAACTGCCAACAAAGCTGGATAAGGTGAGCTTATATTTTCAAAACATTGATAAGGAAAGTTGTTGCTTTTATATAGTACGTAATTTTTTCAGGTAATGGAAATGAATAATTTATTATGAATAACAGTTCATTTTATAAATATAAAACTATTTTTATAAATTTCATTGTTGATTTTTAAAACTGTTAAATTATAGTGAGATTAAAATATTTCTAAACTGTGTTTTCTGTTTCACTGAACTTTCTAAATAAAAGCTTAAAAATAACTGAAATGGAGTGTTTTATTCATTTTCAAAATTCGTTTTATAATTTTAGAGATATGAATCATATCTTTCATATATTAATTAGATTAAATTGATAAAGAGTCCAACACTAGTTTATTTATTTATTTGTGGTACCAGGGATTGAATTTAGGACCTTGTGTTTGCCAGGCAGGCACTTGTGCCACTGAGCTATATCCCCAGCCCTAAAACTGGTCTCTAAAGTAGAGCAAAATTAATAGCACATCTCCAGTCATAATTAAAAGACAGCTCTCACATATATAACTCAGAATATAATTTTGCCATAGAATTTTTTTCACAACATTTTGCTTTTTGCCTTTGTCATAGTAATTAGAATATATGACTAATTTGGCTCATACAGTTTGTGTCCTTTGGTACAGATATTGTTAACATAGATGTTTAATGGTTGGTATACTTTGTACTTGAATCTTAATTATAAAATTTCTAAATTGTATAGATTGCTACTAGGCTTAATTTTATGATATTTTTAGTTTTATCAAGTAACCTCATCCTTTAAAAAGAAAAATTGTGGGCTGTGGAGATAACTCAGTGGAATAGGTGCTTGCTTGGCAAGTACAAGGTCCTGAGTTCAATCCCTGGTACGGGGTGAGGGGGAAATTGTATTTAAAGTTCAATGCAAAGCTGTGGTTCCCCCAATACTCCCATTTCCCAACCGTTCTGCAGTAGCAGCATTCAAATGCTGCAGCTATGTCTGTTATATCATTTTTCTCTCCTTGTTTGAAAATATATGGATATCACATTTTGTATTTAAGGTTTCACCCTTTCTGGTTGAGTTCCTACAGTGGAAGAAGAGGTTTAGCGTATGTACCCACATACATTAGCATATTATGTTTTCTTTTTCTTTTTCTTTCTCTGTTTTTTCTTTCATCTGTTGCACTAAGAATGGAACCTAGGGTTTTGCACCTGCTAGGTAAGCATTCCACAACTGAGTTGTGCCACTGGCCTAAATTTCTTAGTAAGTAAATATTTTCATTTAGATTAATAGTTACTATTTGATTTCAAGCCATCATTTAAAAGGATTTAGATCCACTCCTAGAAGTTTGAAATTTAGTGAAGAAGGCTGTTGATTTTTAATGCTTAAATACAAAAGTCACCACAGCATGGTGGTCCATGCCTGTAATCCCTGCACCCTGGAGGCTGAGGCAGGAGGGTCCTTGAGAGTTGAAGAACAGCATGGGCTACAAAGTGAGCTCAAGGGCAGTCCAAATTTCATAGTGAGACCCTGTCTCAAGAGGCCAAAAACAAAAGCAGTAAGTATGAGTAAACTTACTTAGTGCACCAAGAAGATTTAGAGTTTAGTCCTAGCTTAGATTCAGATATAACCTTTAGTGTGTAATAACTAAATTATGTGTAAGTTCTTTCTTAGTGTAACTTTCCTGCAAAGCAAACAAAACAAAGGAGTATTTATGTGATAGTACTAATCCAAGTTTACATTGTTATCAAGGTAAATTAAGAAAATGTATAAAATGTACTTTTCACTAAATTTTGGGAATCAGTGCAAACCAAGAAAAGGGATATTATCTACAAGCATTGAAAGCACAAACAATGAGCTCTTAGGGCACAAATAAAAGATAATTTCCAGGGCTGGTGAGATGGCTCAGTGGTCTAAAGCACCTACTTAGAACAAGCTTAGCAAAGCACATGGACCGCGGTTCAA